GAAAGTTAACTCCTCTTGATGAGATTACTTAGTATCAGAGAAATACCAGTTAACCATAACTATGAGGAAGGGAAATAGAATTGATGAGCACAATACAAAGCTTCCAAATAATGGAAAAAGAAAATGTGGAGAAATGCAACCAAGCCAGTAAAGAAAAAGAAAAAAAATTAAATAATAATTGGATGAAAGGAATGAGATGAAATATTTATCTGTCATCACTATGAACTGAAATGTCCTAAAAAATCAAATATTCAAACTTATACAGTAGGAGGGAGGATGGTGTTAATTAAATGGCAAAGAAAAGTTGAAAATGAGTGATTAGGCAGATATAAACTAGCCAAATGCACATAAAATATAGCAAAAGTGGTAATATTTTTGCCGGAAGTGGAATTGCTGGATCATACGGTATTTCCATTCTTAATCTTTTGAAGAACCTCCATAGTGGTGGTGCCAATTTACATTCCCATTCGGACCAAGAAAAATTCAGAGTCAAAAGCACTGTATTTACAAGTTGCAGTTCAAATGTATAGTAATCACAGACATTTTTAAAATTGAGATATAATTGATATAAAACCTTATTTAGTTTCAGATGTATAACATAATGCTTCAATATTTGTATGTTTCTGTCACCAGTTATAAAGTTTTTTTATTGTGATGAGAACTTTGAAGATCTACTGTCTTAGCAACTTTCAGATGTGCAATATTGTGTTGTATATGAACTATAGTCATCATGCTGTACATTACATCCCTGGCCTTACTTATTTCATAACTGGCAGTTTGTATCTTTTGACCACTTCTACCCATTTTGCCCACCCCTGCTTCTACTCCCTGTCCTACCAATCTCTTATTTGTTTCTATGAGATTTTTTTTTAATTTTACACATGAGATCATATGGTATTTTTCTTTCTCTGCTTGACTTCAAACAACATTCATGTTGTTTGAGATAGCAATATTTTCTCCTTTTTAATGGCTGCTCATTTTTAAATCAGATTTTTTTTTCTGTTGTGTGAATTCTTTATATATTTTAGATATTAACCCCTTATCATATACATGATTTGCAAATACTTTCTTCCACTTGGTAAGCTGCCTTTTCATTTTGTCGATGATTTCCTTTGCTATACAGAACACAAACCTTTTACAACAACCATAACCACAGGGCATCCATATAGATTGAACAAAAGCTCCAAGAAATACAACTTGATTAGGAGACAGTTATTTTAAGAATTTAAAATACCCCTTTCAGAATTTAACATATCAAAAAGACAAAACATAAATGATACAGAAAGTTTGAATAACATAGTCAACAAGCTTGATTTTTGGATTCATTAGGATTCCATTTTGAGGATATATTTGAAGATGTCTTCCAGCTGACTGAGAGTGAGATGTAAATGGGAAATGGGAGAAATGGTGGAACTAATCTGGGATTCCAGTGTGAACAGGATGAACGCTGAGGAGCATTTCTAGAAAGCAACTCACTCAAATTAGAATTGGAAGTTAGCAGGATCTTGGAATTATGCCTTAAAAAAATTGAAATGGATCCCAAGAAATGGTATGATATAACATGATTATGAAACTGAGAAAATGTTAGGGACATGGGGCAGAAGTCCTATATATTTTCTCCCATGGAAGGATAAAACAGAAGAACTGTAAAACAGTCATGCTACAAATGTGAATGAAACAAAATGTCACATGAATTGGAACATTTGATGAAGTGTATCAAAGAATCCATTTGAACTAGACCCTGGAAATATTTTATTTGCAAGCAGGGAGCATGCAGCGAACTATACTTACAGAATCGTAATATGAGTACTGTTTTTCACCTTTTGATTCTGCTTTATAGAAGGAGCATAAGAAGGTATCTTCCTTTTGTTCATGAAACAGCTCTTAATATATTTTGTTAGAGGTACAACTTATTGGTAATTAAAAAAAAAAAACCCTCAGATTTGGGTAGGCCCGGTGGCTCGGTGGTTTAGCGCCGCCTTCAACCCAGGGCCTGATCCTGGACACCCGGGATCGAGTCCCACGTCGGACTCCTTGCGTGGAGCCTGCTTCTCCCTCTGCCTGTGTCTCTACCTATCTCTCTCTCTCTCTCTCTGTGTTTCTCATTAATAAACAAATAAAATCTTTTAAAAAAACAGAAAACTCAGATTTTATAGATTTCATTGTGGTTCAGAATATTAGTGGAAATCAACAAAAAGCTGAACAGAAAGTGAGTACTTGGAAAATATAAAGTTCTTCCTAAAAAAAAAAATTAAAATTGGTGTTTCATATCTAGAACCATGCTGTCCAGCACATACATATGGCTATTTAAACTTAATTTAATGTTAAAAATTTTGTTATTTTAGTGGCTCTGGGTCCATCTCCTATCCTTGATAGCTGCAAGTTGCTGCCACCTTGGGCATTATAGATACAGAACATTTCTATTCTGGTAGAACATGCAGCTGAACAGCTCTGATGTAGAAAGTACTTCAACAGAGGACAGTGCCGGGGGATGCCTGGGTGGCTCAGAAGTTTAGTGCCTGCCCTTGACCCAGGGCCTGATCCTGGAGTCCCTGAATGGAGTCCCACATCAGGCTCCCTGCATGGAGTCTGCTTCTCCCTCTGCCTGTCTCTGCCCCGCCCCCTCTCTCTCTTTCTCTCTCTGTCTCTCTGTCATGAATGAATAAATAAATAAAATCCTAAAAAAAAAAAAAAGAAAGAAAGGAAGAAAGAAAGAAAGAAAGAAAGAAAGAAAGAAAGAAAGAAAAAAAGAGGACACTTGATAGACTTATGGGACTTAACTGATAGCTGGAAAAAAATTGAAAGCCATTAATAACTTGCATTATTTAAAATAAAAAAGACTGAAAGTAAGTGAACTAAGTACTTAAGACAGTAGAGAAACAAAACAAAAGGAAGAGAATGTTTTTTTAAATCCTGAAAATGATAGAAATAAAACAAAACATGCCAGAATTGATTAATAGAAAGTAGAGATTTTGAACAGACTACAGCTTTTGAAGAAGTTAAAAATATATTTAGGGGCACCTGTGTGGCTCATTCAGTTAAGCATCTGCCTTCTGCCTAAGTCATGATCCCAGGGTCCTGGGATCAGGCCCTGTATCTTGTTCCCCGCTCAGCAGGGAGTCTGCTTCTCCTTTTCCCCCTGCTCTCACCCTGCTGTTTGAGCTTTTGTGTGTGCTCGTTCCCTCTCTCAAATAAATAAATAAAATATTTAAAAAAATATATTTATCAATCACCTTATTTAGATGGATTTCAGTTGAATTAATTTACCTTTTAAAAAATAGGTTATACTTTTATTTATTCCAATAAATAATGAATAGGTTCCCATATATTTTTCTGAAGCTAGTGTAATTTTATACTGATACTTGGTAATTTTTTTAAAAGGGCCAATTTTTAGATGCAGAAGTTCTAAATGAGATTTTTAGCTAATGAAATCATACACTAGTGAAAGAATAACATTTTCTTGGAGTATAAGGATAGTTCACAATAGGAAACATCACCATAATTTACTGATCAGCAGATTAAATGAGAAAGGCCATGTGATTCTATTAGTGGATACTAAAGGGGCATTTGATAAAATAATTAAAATACTTAAGTGTAGTAAGAATTATGAAAGAACCTACTTCAGTAATGAGAGTGATCATAGCACCTGCCACAGAAGGTTGTTGTGAGGATTTAATGAATTAATTAACACATGTAATAATATTAAAAATATTGTCTGGTACATAGGAATTATTCCATTTTAGCTCTTTTTATTAAAAATGATACAGTTCATATACAAAAAAAATGGCCAATGTTGCATGGAGTGGCAAAACATTCATGTTCTTACCCCTATATATTCAGAATCCCTTTTGAGGTTTTTTCATTTCTCTGTTACAACAAAAGGAAATGAAATAACTGATAAAAATACTAAAAGAGGAAGTGAAATACTTTGAATTACAAATTATATGATTTACATATGTAGAAAACTCAAGAGATTACTAAAGACTAATAAAAATACTCAGAAGTTTTTTGTTTTAGTGAGTGCTTTCTATTATTTATTGTGAACAGAACAGAGAGAAGTTTAACAAAATGGTTCTGTAGCAAGAAAATGAAAATGATCTTTAGGAAAGTCAAACTAGATCTCAAAAATTGTAAACATTTCTAAAAGTAACATGAATTTAATTAATTCTAGTTAGAAGCCTTGAATAGTATTTTATGAAATTGGATATTAAAGTTCATATGTAGCGTATATTTCTGAAACTACCTAAGAAAATGTACTATATAGGGGCTCCTGAGTGACTCAGTCAGTTAAGCATCTGCCTTCTGCGCAGGTCATGATCCCAGAGTCCTGGGATTGAGCCCCACATAGGCCTCCCTGCTCAGCGGGGAGCCTGCTTCTCCCTTTCCCACTCCCCCTACTCCTGCTCTCTCTTGCTGTCTCTGTTGCTCTCTCTCAAATAAATAAATAAAATATTTTTTAAAAGATCTTTTAAAACCCACACTCTCTGTTTAATTCTGTTTTTGTTAATAGTCCCTCTACCTTCTCCCCGCTATGAACACATATTTATATGGAGAAATTTGAAGAAGAAAACAGTCTTGACTTTTTCATGACATTTTCTTCCTTAACCTCATTATAGATGGGAATCAATGGAGAGTTAGACGTGTAATCATATACCATTTTTTAAATATAGTTTTTCACTGTCACGTGTTCCAAGGGATATATTTTAGTTATTATTTTTAATTGATCTCATATAAAAGGGTAATAGGAAAAAGTTTAATAATTTTTCACTCATTGAAGTTGTAATCCCATTTTAGGTAAACTGGTATTAAAAGCATATCATGGATTGACTTAGAGGAGATTTTAAAGAAATATCTCCTTGTTTTATACATATTAAAAATGGAAATGTATTTTCTTTTAGCTTTCCTGAACATATGGTGCTTTCTGTAATAGCATGATTAATTTTTAACTCAAACTCTGAAAAGATTTTTTTTCCCTTTTTTTTTCTATTTCTCTGTCAAAGGTATGCAACCCCTCATGTATTCGGTTCAGGAAGCATTAAATGCCAGACCATGGTGGATTCGTGTGGGAACTGACATTTGTTACTATAAGTAAGTATTCTAAGAATAGTGGGTCATAAGCTGACAGAAGGGGATCTTCATTCTGTTTCAGTTTGAAGATTAGAAAGTAGGGTCATTATTGCATTATTTGAAGTGTGGTGGTCTGCTTTATTGTTACCTCTAACAGAGTCCTGTAGAATTTGAGATTTATTGAGGTGGTATGTTTAGTGGAAATAAAATGTGCCTTATAGACAGATTTAGTCCATATCTCATCTTCACCACTTTGATAGCTAGACTCTGGAAACGTTTTTAAATAAAACTATTAAATAAAAATGAAATTAGGAATTCTAGAAAATAATTAGCAGTGACTTTTTGTTGTTCTGATGATATTAAAAACAATTCTTATCTTTTTTCTTTTGCATGGAAATATTTACTTTATTTGAATTTCCAGAATATTTTACCTCAAGATGTATTCCATAGTTACTTTATAGTAGCCTATACAGTTCAACTTGACCTCAAATAGGTTATCTACCATTAAGTCAGACATAAGTGCTCAGAATCATTTATTGCTTCAGTGGAATGATTGGATTATTCTTCAACTTCATGTCTAAATAATCTGGGATGATCATATACCTTCCTTCCTGTTTTTACTCTGTTTCTGTAATACGTTTCTAGAAAACTTCCTCCGCTGAATGCATTTGACATCCCCGTCTTTTTTCTGTTAATAATCTTAATCCTGATATTTTTGTTCAATAGATTTTGGGTTTTTATATTGTGCTTGACTAGCATCAATGTTCCTTCTTTTTTAATCAGAAAACTTCTGAAATTAAACTTTTTATTGATTTAAGACATGGCTTTGGAAAAACAGTTCTTAAGTGCTATTACTTTGTGAGAAAGACAGTGTTCCCTAGAATTCACCTCAGTAGGGTTTTCCCCCTACTTTTATTAGCAAAATAAGTAGTAAATGAGGAATAGAAATACAAGATCGTATGCAATTCCTCTGTACCTGAATGTATTTCATATTTCTTTCAGTGGTAGACCAACATAAAAATACTCTTAATTATCTCTTTCTCATAAAGTTGGAATAGAAATAATCAATGAATACTTTTCTTTTTCACATTATAAAGTGAATGGTTCTAACATGACAGATGGCGGTTCTGTTTTGTGTAAAGTGTGATGGCAAGGATTTTCATTTGTTTAATTTTTGTTTCTTCTTTTGGCTACTTCCAGATCTGGAACTGGAATTCAGGTCAATTCAACAGACATTTATTAACTATTTTCTCTGTAACAAGCACTATCCTGGTTGCTTTCCTGAAGCCTAAAACCCAGATAGGATGAAATCTACCATCTTTGCATGTGTCTTAACTTTTCCTCTCAGCCAGTCCTCTGATGCTTATTGGTCTCATCTATATAATGAGAATAAAACTACTTCCACCAGTGTATGAGAGAATATAATTTACAGACTACCATATAGTTATAATGTGGTGTTACCAGTACCTCTCCAGTTAGATGTTAAACTTTGAAATGTGGGAAAAAGAATTGGCAAGGACTAGTTCTGGAACTTATTTTGTGTTATTCCTCAACCCATAGCACCTTGTCATTGAGTATTCAAGATACAGTGGCTACGTTAATGAAGATTATGCCAGGTTGAAAATACCATGCATGTGTATGTGTGTACAAGTAAATAATATGTTGGTCATGGATTTTCTTCAGTTCATGACTTAAAGAATATAAGGTGATTTGAAGTTTTTGAAATTAGCTTAATAGACAAATCATTGTTAGGCCATCAAATGTCACTTTTATTTAAAGTCTGGAAATTGTGTAGTTTTAAAAACTTTATTAAGGAAATCTTCAAACATTTACAAAAGCAGGTAATGTGATAATGAGCCCCCATGTATTCATCACCCAGTTTCAACAATTATCAACACATATTTAGCTTTGTTTTAGGAATACTTTCACCCCTACCTCCACACTGAATTTTATTTTATTTTATATTTTTTTCCACACTGAATTTTAAAAAGCATTTCCAAATAATCATATTTACCCATAAATACTTAAAGATCTTTGTCTTTTAGAGATTTTTAAAGACAGTTTAACCATAATGCTATTATCACACCTAAAAAAATCCTTAATATGATAAAGTATTTGGTCATTGTTCAGACTTATTAGCTGTCTCATAAAGATTGTTTTATAGTTGGTTTGTTTTAATCCAACCAAGGTCACACATTGCATTTGATTTTTGTTAATATGTCCCTTAAGTCTCCTTTAAAATGTAGATTTCCCTTTTTTACCCCCTCCTATTTCTTCTTTATGTTTTGGAGAAACTAGGTCATTTGTCATGCAAGATTTTCCACATTTTGGGTTTGGCTGGTTGCATCCCCATGGTGATAATTTTTCTATCTCACTGATTTTCTGTAACCTAATAGTTAGATCTAGAAACTTAATCAACTTCAGGCTTGATTTTTGGCAAGAATACTTCATAGTTGGTGCAGTGAATTCCTATCGCATTACATCAGGAAAGACATCACATTTGGTTATTTCTTTTTTTTATAATTTTAAGATTGGTAGTAAATTTAGGTATTGTCTCCTGATCCATCCACTTGAAAGGCCTTCGATCTAGTAGTAGTAGCAGCCAGTGATGATAATTGCTGAGATCCAGTAATGTGTGTGGCTAACAAGGTATTAGGTTCTAAACTTTGTATTGATTTCTAGAGTCTCAACTCCATTTTAACAGTAAATCCAGAGGTGAAAACTAATGTCAGCAGATGGTAATTAACTGCTTCATTAGTATCACGTTTAATTTTTATAGAATATTTAAGCTCAACTTTTTAAACTGTGTGGTATTTTTTTCTCCTGAAGTTCTATTTTAAAAAGTAGTAAGGAAAATTAGAAATTTTATGTGGAAGAAATAAACATGTTTTGTGCTTTTCTATTGCAGAAATCACTTCTCAAGAAGTTCAGTTGCTGCAGGTGGGCAAAAAGGAAAATCGTACTATACAATTACATTCACTGTCAATTTTCCCCACAAAGATGATGTTTGCTACTTTGCTTATCATTATCCATACACATATTCAACTTTACAGGTGAGAACTCATTACGTTGTATTATGGCTGTTAGTGTGCTATATGCATGTGTCAGATAATTGAAAAAAATGTTTTTAATATCTTACTAAGATAGGAAAAAAAACAGTGCTGAATATTTTAGAAAATAATATAACACTTTTTGAAAACATTAAAAGGAGTAAAATGGGAATGTAGTCTTTATTTTTACTTAGTAGAAATACTAAAGAAATTTGAAAATATTTTTACTCTCCATCTTTGTGTAGAAATCTATAGATCTTGAAGATTCCATGATTCATGCATTTTACCTAGGTGAGATTTCTGCTTGTTTTAATGAGAGGCATTGGATCTCATAGAAAATCTATCAGTAGAAAATGTGTAAGTTTTCTTGTAGGGGATTCATTTCTTTTAGGGGTTTGATGTGGAATTCTAGATCCAGATTCTTCAGGATTTAGAATATAAGAGTTGTTTCATGTGGGTTCTCTTGAGAGATTTGAGTATTTGCACTGTAAAACAAAACTGAAAAATAAATTCAGGTAATTACTGTGGTAGATTTTTTTTCTCAGTACAGAATGTCTATCCTAATGATCAAGGATCATAAAGGTATAACCAATTTACCCAGAAAGAAATTGGAATCCTGTGATTTAGAAACAAGCTTCCAAATTATTAAGGAAAAAGGAGAGGAAAACATACTCTTCTGAACAGAAGAGAGCAAGGCTGAGTACACTCAGTGTGGCTGACTTTATTTTAATAAAGGTCACAACTTAAAGGTATTACCAGTTATCTTTCTGTGCCAAATGACAGCATCAGAATCTGTGGTGCTATTCACAGGGTTATATAATATTGTTCTTTACTGATGTTACCTTTTTTATATAGTTTGAATTCCTCTTTTCTGATTCTACTACCATGACCTTTGCAGGCATTGCTGCTCCCTCTCCTCTGGACTTCGGCCACCTCTTCTCACTGGTGTTCTAGAATTCACTTCTATCTCCTTTCCTCTTCATCCCTCTTTCCCCCACATTGTAGCAGGATGGCTTCTTGATAGGAGGGTTTAATCCCATAAATTTCCTGCTTAAAGCTCCTTAGTGATTTCTCTTGTTATTTTTATGAAGTCTGAAATTCTTACCATGGTTCATTCATATCATCTTTTCTCTACTATTTTTCACAATTTTTTGCCATATCCACATACTGTTTGAACTATTATATACTTAATATTTATCTTTAAATGGACTTTAAAATAACTCTTTAAACTTTAGCATCATCCTAGGTTAATATTTTTGGTATTAATTCACAGTAAAATATATGCCTGTTCATTTTGTTTTAAGGTTATTCACATATCACTTTCTTGTCTATTACCAGCCATACATATATATGCTGTACCTTGTGAAGGAATGGCCCATGAGGCCCTTTGCTCTGTGTTAATTCTCTCTTTCTCACCCTTTCTGGTCTGGCTGCAGTGATTCTTGGTCAATTCTTTAAGATGCCCTTCCTCTTACTGACATCTGGTCTTCCCATATGCCTTCCTTCTGCCAGCAGCACTCCTCCCTTCTGCCCTCCTCACTCATCCTTTGCATCTTGGTTTCAATGTAACTTCTTGTAAGAGACCTTTCCTCACTGTACAGATTCAGCTAGGCTCTCTGCCCTGGATTATAGGCTCTCTCCCAGCACTCTGTATTTTCCCAAAGATAGGTCTGTTCACTCACTGTTACATCCCCAGTGCTTGGCAGTTACCCGCACAGAAATAGTGGCCACATAGTAAATCGTGAATGTGAACAAACAGGCAAAAGTTTGGAAACCAACCTAAGTATCTTAAAGTAAGGAATTGAACAACGTGTGTGTGGTATAACCATATACTAAAAGCATTAAAACTTGTTGTTTTCAAAGGACACACATTTCACATGTTGAATGATATGATATAGTGTTCATAATTATGAATGTGTGTGTGTGTATAAATTGCTAAGTGATAAAAGCAGGTTACATTGGCATTTGTTAGTAATCTAGGTGATGCAGTTATGGGTGTTTAAAATTTTTTCTTTGTACATTCTGTGTCTTCTAGACATTTTGCAGTGAATCTGTATTAATCCTGAAATCAGGAAAAGTCATTAAAAATTTTGTACTACCTATTTCATTCTGCAGATCTATAGTTACTTGTCATTTCAAAATTTAGAAAGCTTTGAAAACCAAAAGCTTTCTCATAACCCATTTAACAGCAAAGCCTGGCCTGAATTGATGTGAGCTTATTTAGAATATTGATTCCACTTTGAGTGACTTCTTATATGTTTTGCTGCAGAAATAATAATGTACTTATTACAAGCTGCTGCCGCTGGCCCCACTGGAGTCTTGCAGAATTAATGGTATATGTACTGTATCCATCCCTTTTTTCAGCTGTCCAAGTAACTGATGTTTGAACTGTATCTGGCTCCCTGAGGGTTTTAGAGAAGGAATTAGGAATCTGATTCACTTTTCCTTATGTGGAGATGTGGATGCATTTATTTCTGTTTTTCTGAGGGAGTTTTTAAATGATTTTGTACTCTGTTTTTAAATTTTTATCAAGATGCATCTTCAAAAATTGGAATCAGCACACAATCCTCAGCAAATCTATTTTCGAAAAGATGTGTTATGTGAAACCCTGTCTGGAAACACCTGTCCGTTGGTGACTATAACCGCAATGCCAGAGTCTAATTATTATGAACATATCTGTCAATTCAGTAAGTCTTTCATCTCCACTCAAAATACCAATTCTTTTTTTTTTTTAAGATTTATTTATTTATTCATGAAAGACACAGAAAGGGGGGGGGGGAGCAGAGACAAAGGCAGAGGGAGAAGCAGGCTCCCTGTAGGGAGCCCAATGCAGGACTCTATCTCGGACCCCAGGATAATGCCTTGAGTTGAAGGCAGATACTCAACCACTGAGCTCCCCAGGCATCCCCAAAATATCAATTATTCTTATTTTCCTTTGCTTCATATATATTTTGTAAGGGCAGCAATACTAGGAATAGACATCAGAAATCTTCAGTTCTAGTCTTCGTCCTATTACTGCCTAGCCCTTTGGCCCACTTCTGGGTCTCATTTTTCTCATCTCAAAAATGGGGGAGCTGCGTGAGATTATCTCAGAGGTTTCTCTCGATACAAATATTCTGTAGTTCTTCCCTTAGAAGTCCTACCCAAACTATAATACAACACAATGTTTTAAGAGTTCATGTATTATTTTACGATTAAATTTATTATAAATTAATGTAAATTTATAATAAATTTAATTTAATTGTAAATTTAATTTACAATTACGATTTTACAATTTTATAATAAACTAATAAAATAATTTTATTTATAAATAAAACCACCAAGAACCTATGAAATGCACTGACTAGCTACTTTTTTCCCCTGCCATTTATATTTTTAATGTTGCCTCAGATATACAAGTGTGATAGAAAAAATAAGAAAGCTGCTCTAATTTTGGTAAGAAGGTGAAGTATTTTCAGGAAAGAGAAAGAGCTTGCTAAGCATGAAAATATGAGCAGGTGGGCTAAGTGGTTATATTGTAGACCTGTATATCTAAATGTATAGTGAAAACATTTTCTTTGTAAATCTCTGAACAGATATACCTTATTTTAACTATGCTTATCACAGCAACTATGAAACGTGAAATGATATTTTCCTTTTATTACCACGACTTTATGAAAACTAAATTTACATTTAAAACTTTCCCAAATACTTGTTCTTTATAAAAAGCAAGATTATATAAAAGAACTAGTTTTATATGTCGGATTAATTATTTGAAAATAAGCAACTCAAATACTATTTATTGTGTTATGTTCATACTATGAACTCCTTTAAGATATCACTCACTTATATGGATTTTACCTGTTTTTTCTATAGGCCCTAGTGGCATGCTTTTATATAGTAGGTGCACAGTGAGTGTTACTATGAATTTATATCAGAATTCGCAGTTGAATAGAAATATTTCTAAATCCCCAAAGCCAGACATGGTATAAATTCTTAGTAGCTGTTCATTTTAATTTGAGACTTTTTGTGTACTTTAGGAAACCGCCCTTATGTTTTCTTATCTGCTCGGGTACATCCTGGAGAAACTAATGCGAGTTGGGTAATGAAGGGAACGTTGGAATACCTCATGAGTAATAATCCTACAGCCCAGAGCTTACGAGAATCCTATATTTTTAAAATTGTCCCTATGCTAAATCCAGATGGTGTCATCAATGGAAAGTAAGTGAAGCAATTGCTTTAGAAATGCTGTAGATGATGTGGTCATCCTGTATAAACTTGTCAAAATAAGATCATGCAGGTTAATTTGGAAAACAAATTGAGTGAGTTTTCTAGAACAAAGAAATTGTTGGTGGGGAGTTCATTTAAGATAAATTTTTAAAGGAATATACATTTTGTGTATCTATGGTATTTTGAGAAATTCTGTATTTATTCCATGAGAATATGATTTCATAAAATGTATGCCTTGGTTGAATTGTTTTAGAAAAATCACAGTGTCAGGGAGTGAGAAAATTTTTATTTTAAAAATTTCTTAAAATATTTTATTTATTTATGAAATACACACAGAGAGAGGCAAAGACACAGAGGGAGAAGTAGGCTCCCCACAAGGAGCCCCATGCAGGACTCAATCCCAAGACCCAGGGATCATACCCTGAGCCAAAGACAGATGCTCAACCACTGAGCCACCCAGGTCCCCCTAGAAGGAAGAAATGAGAAAATTTTTAGCATAGCCTCTTACATTCCTTTTTTGTTTGTTTGTCGTCATGATCTTGAGTTGTTCTAAGATTTAGAATCTTCTGGGATCTTTCTGCACTAAGGAATATTGGCTGTATCTGCTGACCTCTTCCTTTTTTTTTTTTTTTTAAGATTTTATTTATTTATTCATGAGAGACACAGAAAGAGAGAGAGGCAGAGACACAGGCAGAGGGAGAAGCAGGCTCCATGCACCAGGAGCCCGATGTGGGATTCGATCCCGGGTCCTCCAGGATCGCGCCCCGGGCCAAAGGCAGGCACTAAACCGCTGCGCCACCCAGGGATCCCACTTTTTTTTTTTTTTTTTTAAAGATGCTGACCTCTTCCTGATGGGAAGAGGTATAATTTTGACAGAAATTATAATTATATAATTATAATTATAATTATATAATATATATTATATTTATATGATATAATATATATTATATAATATATAATTATATAATTTAATAATTTAATTATTATTATAATTATATTAATTATAATTCTTTAGACTGAAAATATTGCAAGATAATTGGAAATGGCTTACAATTAGTGCAGTTTTCTTTTTGTGGGAATTAGAAGTGGTCTCTGTTTCTGAACAATGGTAATTTGGTTTTGCTGTCATGAATATCTGCAAATCTGAGGATACCAAATTTTATTCAATAAAGGTAGCATGGATATTTCTCACATTTTAGGAAATTTTTTAATGAAAAAGCTAGAATAATTTCTTTTTAGAAAGTGTGTTATGGAAAAAAAAAAGAAAAAAAAGGAAGTGTGTTGTGGAATTAAAATGAGATTTTTATGTCTGGTTTTAATTCACGAACATACTCACCAGTTGGAATTCTGTCTATATTTCCTTTACCACCTTCTTTTTTTTTTTTTTAAGTTTTATTTATTTATGATAGTCACACAGAGAGAGAGGCAGAGACACAGGCAGAGGGAGAAGCAGGCTCCATGCACCGGGAGCCTGACGTGGGATTCGATCCAGGGTCTCCAGGATCGCGCCCTGGGCCAAAGGCAGGCGCCAAACCTCTGCACCACCCAGGGATCCCAGCCTTTACCACCTTCTGATAGTTTGTTTACACTTTTGCTCAGTTGCTTTTAATAGTTAATACTTGCAATTAAATGAAAATATATTTGATTTTTGCAAGAATGTAGATTTTTTTTTTTTAAGAATGTAGATTTTTCTTATGCTTCTCTTTCTTGGGAGGGCCCAGCCCAGATAGCACTTTTTCTTTTCCTTTTTTTTTAAAGTAGGCTCCAGTGCAGCCTGGAGTCCAACGCTGAGCCCGAACTCACAACCCTGAGATGAAGACCCAAACTAAGATCAAGAGTCAGACACGACACTTAACCGACTGAGCCATCCAGGCACCTCCCAGATACCACATTTACATAACTAATACAGTCAAAGTACAGGATGTTAATATATAACAAATGATTATTACATAGTCGGAATAAAAAATGTGACCATTAATAAATTTTATAGAGCCTGGAATAAGACTCAAGAATTGAGAATTAATTTTTTTCTTTTTTTAAAATTTTATTTATTTATTTGAAAGAAAACAAATGTGTGTGCCAGTGTGAGCAGAGAGAGGGGCAGAAGGAGAGGGAGAGAGTATCCCTGCTGATGCCTGACTCGATCTTATGACCCTGAGATCATGACCTGAACTGAAATCAACAAGAGTGAGAGGCTCAACAGACTGAGCCACCCAGGCACTCCTAATTTTTTTTTATGTAGCTTGAAAATGTTGACCTAAATATCTGAAAGTCTATTAGCACAGTTAAATGCATGTAACACAAAATATACATAAAGCAAATAATAAGTTTTTATTTAATGACTAATATATTTACTGTTAAGTAGTTCTCAACTGAAAATCATAAAATTAAGTCAAATATATGTAAGAGTTTATTGTTGTGGTTGTGTTTTACATATGTGTAGTCACCGCTGTTCTTTAAGTGGAGAGGATTTGAATAGACAATGGCAAAGTCCAAATCCAGATTTACATCCTACAATTTACCATGCTAAGGGGCTGCTACAATACCTGGCTGCTGTGAAACATTTACCACTGGTAAGTATTTGTACTTTGTCTAGTTAAAGAAATGATTTTGTTAATTAAGACTCAGTATTTTAATTAAGACTCAGTATCATTTAAAGAAATGATTTTGTTTATTAAGTCTCTATTAATTTTTTAATTTTATGGTTATAAAAGTGTTCGTTTTAAAGGCAATTTCTTTAAAATATCTTCTGTTATCAATTACATAATATCAGTATATAATGATGTCAAATTAATACAATGTATCCATATTCTTATTTCATCAGGTTTAATTTTTATAGTTGCCAGAAGCCCTTTACTTACCTTTCTTATGAATATTGTGTATATATGCTGCTTCTGTATTCAGCAGCTTTTGTGTATAATGTTCCCATTATATTATTGTTTAAATGAGGTAATCTTCCTTTGGGAAAGATAGGAAAACTTTAGAGAAGGAACAACATTGATATATAAGCCTGTTCTTCATTTTTCATTTTAAAAATAATGCTCTTAAAAATTAAATTGAAACCATATCTTTTTTTAGATAGTGTTTTTGAGAGCATTTTCATGTTCTTTCAAATTAAGTAAATGTTTTAATAATCCTTGGATCAGTGATGATTGCTGCTGTAAATTTGACCTATAATTGAATTTTACTTTTTTAAGTGATGAATAGTAGATACATAAGAAAGGAGTGGTGGGTTGATGCAGGCCCTAGAAAGGATTTAGCTATTCTGGAATTAATCATAGATCCTTTTCAGAACTAGATATTATTACTTTTATTAGTTCTACTTGTTAAATGGTGGCTCAGTTACAATATAAAAGACAAAGAAACACAGACCTCTACTAATTGTCTTGATCCTAACTAGCTTTATTTGGAAATATGTGAATTTGAAGTTTTTTAATTTATAAAATATATTTTCAAGGTTTATTGTGATTATCATGGCCATTCCCGAAAGAAGAATGTATTTATGTATGGCTGCAGCATCAAAGAGACAGTATGGCATACCAACAATAATGCCACTTCATGTGATGTTGTGGAAGATGCAGGATACAGGGTAATTATTACCCACAAGTCTGGAGTTTTTGGATTTCAAACATGCAGAGCTCTATAGAAAAATAACATGCACGAACTCGTCAGATTCAGCAAGTGTTGCCATTTTGCCATTTTTTTGTTTCAGATTTTTTCATGTTAAACATTCTAAAATTTTTGCTTTTCATATTTAGATTTTTAATCTATTGGGAATTTATTTTTGTACAAGGGCTTGGGATCTAATTTTAGCTTCCCCATATATAGCCGGTTGTCTCGGCACCATTTATTCAACAGTACCTCCTTCCTGTGCTGATTTATGAAGCCATCTGTTACATACCATGCTTCCATGCATCTGGGTGTGTTTTGAGGCATGCCCAGGACTGAAAGGAGATCTTGCTGTCTCACATCCTCGGTTTTCTGTTTGGGCACAGTGGTTTTCCTACTGTATTTGTGCTTCAACAAAGCACCTCAGGTTATTTTCCCAAAAGAGTTTTAGTAGCATACCACTGCCGTGAGCAGAAACTCAAGGGCCATTTTCTTTCTGATGTCCTCTCTCTTCTTCCCCTTTCCCAAGTAAATAAAATGATTAGAGTTCTATAAAAAATGAGAACTCCAAAAACAAAACACAGTAAGTGAAAGGCATCTTCTCTCAGTCACTAATCATTTATTTCTAACATATTTTTTGTGAGACTTGCCTCTAAGCACATTTGTTCTTAAGTATATATACATGTAGTGTATGAAGTTCTGTTTTTAATCTGCCACCGCAGCCAGTGTGCATTGCTGTTCATTTTTATCACTGTACAGATGTACCAAAATGTATTTAGTCATCTGACCTGTTAGTGGTTGTTTAATTAGTATTGCCAGTTTGCCCTACATAAAGATTGTATACTGCCCTACGTAATGACTGGCAGTGCTGTTTCCCACCATTAGGACATCATGCTGCCACCTAGGGCAGGTAATTGTCTGATTGTTTTAATTTGCATATCTGTAATTATAAATGAGGTTGAGTATTTCTTCATATGTTTGCCCAATTATGACCCCTCCCTCTCTTTTAAGGGCATTTTCTCCTATTCTCTGTTTACTTTTATACTGGTCCTCTAATTATTACTGTTTTTAAGACAACTGTTTAGTACAAATACATTGAAAAATGTTTTTGTTTGTGTATGGTAATTTAAAACTTGCATAAAAAAAAAACCAACAACCTTGTATCATATTTGTTAATTTCTTTTTTTTTTTTTGTTTTTAATGACTTTTGGGTTTGAGGTTTAGGAAGACTTCTTATCCCAGGATTTAAAAAATGAAGTTCCATGTTTACTGTTTTTAATTTCATTTTGAAATTTTACTCCTTATGAGTTTAAATTCTCAGTCCAGTTAGAATTGAACTTAACTAAAGAGTGTGGCTTATTTCTCTCAGTGGCTCTGCAGTGGTGCCAGCAGTGAGTGAGTGATCAGTTTTCTCCCCACTAATAATTCTAATTTTAACATCTGCCTTTGGTTCTAATTCTGAATTCTTTCTGGAAATGTATCTACTCCTACACAGTATTACAATTTAACTTCCCCTACATATATAATTAGGTTAATATCTGTTGGATTCTTTTCTCTAGTCAAAGCTTCTCTCAGAGTGCCCCTGGCTGTGTCCTCATGGTTACACATTCCAGGTGAACCTGAGAATGATAGGAAGTTGAAAAAAATGTCATGGGCATGTTGATTGTGATTATCTTAGGTTTATTGGTTAATTTAGAGGTTATTGATATTTATAATGTTAAATCTCTTAACAGGTCATCTTTCATGACTAAAGTTGCTTTGTTTTTTAAACATGTGTTTTATTTTCATCTTTGTAAACATTTTTTAGAATAGGTTTTGTTCATTTATTGGTTGCTACTGTGAAAGTGATCCTTTTTTCCATTCTAACTGATTACTGTTCGTCTTGGAAAACAGAAAATTCTAAATTAGTAAAGAATTATTTTAATGCTTAGAATAGGCGGGGACAAAGCAAGAAGATCCACATGGCCCTGCTCTAATCACTGTGCTTTCATGAAAATTTTTAAAAATGAAAAAAAAATATTATTTAAAAAAAACCTCCTTGAAATATTTTATCATTCTTATCTTTGCAGACTTTACCTAAGATACTGAGCCATATTGCCCCAGCATTTTGCATGAGCAGCTGTAGCTTTGTAGTAGAAAAATCTAAGGAATCCACAGCACGTGTTGTAGTTTGGAGGGAGATAGGAGTACAAAGAAGCTATACCATGGAAAGTACTTTATGTGGCTGCGATCAGGGAAAATATAAGGTAAAACATTACAGGATTTCAAGCAGTAAAAATTATTTAATGGACTTCCCTTTCATATAGTATACTGGGGGTTTTCAAATATATATCAAATGATACATTTGTTATACTGAGTTATATATAGTTTGCAAGAATGGAATTGAATCATACACAATTATTTTTTACTTCTCTGTACTTAAATAGCTTGCTTTGGGTCTTTATGAAATCTTGGATGAGCCCATCTAAATTCATAATTTTTAAGAAAGCATGTTGTGGTACATATTTAAATATTGATAATTTATAAATGAGCTGTACAAGTAGTACATTATTAATAAAAATTTTCTATCATTTTAATTTGTTGGATGTATTTTTGTACATTTAGAAATAAATACATTTATAAAGTTTTATGTATTTAGATTTGTGTGTGTGTTTAACTTTTAAATGCATATCCCTTCACTAAAATTTTTCTTTACTAAGACTGCTTTTCTCTGGTGTCATAGACTTTAAAAAAAAAAAAGTATTTCTTTTAGAGTGAGAGTGAGAGAGCATAAATGGGGAGAAGGGGGCAGAGGGAAAGAGAGAATTCTGCACTGAGGGCACGAAGCCTGCTGTGAGGCTCAGTCTCATGACTCTGAGATCACGACCTGAGCTGAAACCAAGAGTCAGATGCTTAATTGGCTGTGCCACCCAGGTGAGACTAATAAAATATTAGGTGACTGAATTTTTTAATTTGGAAGATTGAGAACTTAATGGGCAGTTGGAGCTTTAGATAATCAACAGCAAACAAATAAATAGTACAAATACTTTTCTTGCCACAGAAAGATTTTCAGGTGTCATGCTAATTATTCCTCATTGTGTTTGGTTTGGTTTGGTTTGGCATGGGGCAAGAGGAAGCTGAATGTAATAATGATTTTCATATACCTCTCAAAGATGGTTGTAACTTTCTTTGGAAAGAGTTAAAAATCTTCCAAATGGCGAGTATTAAAAATGTCAACATATTATAGTTGACAAAAAGCTTAATTGGAGAGTCTAAATCATGACTTTTTCAGTCTATATCAAATGGAAGAAAATTTAAGTTCTTGCAACTAACAACATTCAAACTTTCAGGGCCTAGTAGAGTAGAACTTCATGAAATTGCAGTATTTTCTTTTGAGTGACTTCCCTAAATTTTAGGTTGACCACAGTATATTATTTTTCTAAAATGTAATATGCTTTGAATTCTCTTCAAATACTATAAAAAAAAAACAAATACTGTAAAATAATGACTTCTCATCTACTAACGACATGATGGTGATAAGAGAGAAGGTGTCCTAGAGCACTACTGTAGCTCCCAGCCCCTGTTTCCTAATCATTGCTGTAGTGGACAGCTTTGCCAAGAGTCTCATATTCTATAAGTGTGTAGGATGGGCAAAAAGCTTGAGAATCACTTTTGTATAAGACCCTAGGTGTCTCCAAGGAGAAAACCCTTAGGCTGTATGATTTATGGAAACAGACTGTAAAATACTTCTTAAAGAGATCCTTTACTCAGACTGGAGGAGACAACTTAAAGCATCAGTGTCTTTGAAACTAGCCCTTGGGGGCAGGAAGAGAAGTAAGAGAAACAGGTTTGCATGCGCCTTGAAATCAACTATAGGATATGGCAGTCATGCTTTCTTATTATATTTGGATTCTACTGATAGACTTTCATTGGATTTTTATTTTTTATTATTTATTTTTTCTTTGGATTTTTAAAAACATTGTATTTGCATTTTGATAAATTTCTTTGGTCATTAGAAAAAAACCACAGTTTAAAAAATAGCTAAAACTTTGAAACAAAATGTTAGACCATTTTTCTAAAAAGTTATTTTTTAAAAAAAATATAGACTTTAAAAAAGTGGGTACCTAGTAAATATTAATTTTTTAAAAAAGATTTTATTTATCCATGAGACACACACACACACACACAGAGGCAGAGACACAGGCAGAGGGAGAAGCAGGCTCCCTGCAGGGAGCCCGACACGGGCCTGGATCCTGGGTTTCCAGGATCATGCCCTGGGCTTTGGAGGTGCTAAACCTGGGCTTGAGCCACCCAGGCTGCCCTAATTTCTTTTTTTATACGATTAGTTAATAGAGTTAATGTTGATTTAAAACTCTTATGCAGAGAAGTGTCTCTTACTAAGCCAAATTCAGTGCTGTGATCATAACATTAACTTTTTATAAGCTTTTTTTGCTATTAATAAAGCTTGTTTTTTAGAGCAGTTTTAGATTCATAGCAAAGTTGAATAGAAAGTACAGAATTCCCATATACTCCCATCTGCCCCTACATTGTATACTTTTCAGATTTGTTAGTTAATAAGTTGTGTGAGCTTAATGTTTTAAGAAATAGTTCTTTTCTTATATTAAAAAACAATGTTCAACCTCAAGAATGTTCTTATATTACTGAATCTTAGGCTGTAAATGATCTTTATTTTCTGTGAACTAATTAAGAGTCATAGCCTTTCTAAAGCCTATAAATTAAGAAGGCAAGTAAATGTTCTAATAAAGCCAGGTTACATTTCCTAGAATATTTGGAGACAGATAACTATTTAAACATTCAGTCAATCGAGGTGCCTAGGTGGCTCAGTCGTTTGAGTGTCCAGCTCTTGGTTTCGGCTCAGGTCATCATCTCATGAGTCATGGGATCAAGCCCTGACTCAGGCTCCTTGCTTAGTGGGGAATCTGCTTAAAGATTCTCTCCATCTGTCCCTCCCTCTCCCTCTCAAATAAAATAAAAAAATAAATCTTAAAAAAAAGTCAATCATTTTATAAAGGCATGTGCTTTGTGTAAGGTAAGTAACAGTTTTAACAACTTATTTTCTTCACTTACTGTGTGCTTTTAGTCTGGTCATTGAAAAGCTGTTTTAAAGTACCTTCTCTTGGGGATCCCTGAGTGGCTCAGTGGTTCAGCGCCTGCCTTTGGCCCAGGGCGTGATTCTGGAGTCCCGGGATCGAGTCCCGCATCGGGCTCCCGGAGTGGAGCCTGCTTCTCCCTCTGCCTGTGTCTCTGCCTCTCTCTCTCTCTCTCTCTCTCTCTCTCTCTCATGAATAAATAAATAAAATCTTTAAAAAAAAAACATATAAAGTACCTTCTCTCTAAATGATGTGTGCTCTCATTTTCACCTGCATCTTTTGTTGGTGTTAGAATTTCACTTATATTAGAGATTCATTTTTATCTAAAAATTAAACAATAGGGGATCCCTGGGTGGCTCAGTGGTTTAGCGCCTGCCTTTGGCCCGGGGTTCGAACCTGGAGTCCCAGGATCAAGTCCCGTGTTGGGCTCCTGGCATGGAGCCTGCTTCTCCCTCTGTCTATGTCTCTGCCTCTCTCTCTTTCTATGTCTATCATGAATAAATAAATTAATTAATTTAAAAAATTAAACAATAAACAATGTCCCAATTTATAGGTCATTTTTATCATTTCATGTGGTAATGTTTAACTTTTGATAAACCTTACATTGTTTATTAGGAAACTGTCAGTTGGCATGGTAATGAGTTGTGGTAAAATATTTTTTTTGCTGCAGTAGAACAAATTTGAAATGAGCATTCCTAATTGGCAAGGCATCAATGGCCTTGATCTGTTTGATTTCTTTTTTTGTTTTTAACTTAACATAGTTAGCTTTCTTTTGTTTTTTATTTGCCAGTTTCTTTTATCATACAGTAAAAAAATATCTATATGTTAATGCTAAGATATACAAATCAGGACCTTGATTTTGACAGTAGTGGATTACGAGAAATACTACCAATGTCTTGCAAAAATATAATTTCACACATGAACTCCAAGAGTAATATAACCACAGAATGTTTATTTTTTCCAGTGTGTTAGCGAAAATAGTTTGCGTGTAATGAATGAGAATAAACATTTTAGAAATGTTTTTTTGACACTGAAAATGATCTTATATTTATATTGTTAAGACATTGTGCTTATTGGGTTTGTAGGCCCAAAGTACCTTTTAATTTTATTAATATAATTATAAATTTCATTTATGTAATTATGAGACACAACCAGAAGATAGCAAATACCCTAATTATAATATGAAATTATTTGGAATTGCTTTATTTCTAGGGTTTACAGATTGGTACCCGAGAGTTGGAAGAAATGGGAGCAAAATTTTGTGTTGGTCTGTTGCGTTTGAAAAGACTAACATCCCCATTGGAATATAATCTGCCTTCCGGCCTGCTTGACTTTGAAAATGACTTGATTGAATCAAACTGCAAAGTAACTAGGTAAGACATTTATTTCATTCTTTTATTATATTACAGTATACTGTTAGACTTCATTAAATTAATTAAATAGTGGAAAGGTACAAAGATTTTGATGGTTAAGAGCAGTTTTAGAATTAATACAAGTTTAAAATCTAGGCTACATATTTATTCCAAATTGTGGTTATATTCTTCATTCTTTAAACATTGATATTTGGATGAGATTGTAATGAAATATCCTTATATTTTGAATGCTATTTTTAGTGATCTTAATGGTTTACCTTTAACCCAAAAATAAGCAACGTGGTAAACAGTACTTAGATAATATCTAAATTAAGAGGACTTGGAATCAGGATTCATACTTGAAAAGAAATTTTATTTTGTTGATTTCTACATACATCAAATGGCTTTCCAGTAACCTTCTGGTTGCATATATTAACAGCTAATTAATTGAGTATCCCTTTGAAAATTTAATTATATCTGTCAAATATTATTCCCAATAATTTGCTCCCTAAATTCAGTATAAAAAAATTTGATCAGTTACAGGCTCAGATATAACTCAGTATTATAATTTTTTTTAAGATTTTATTTATTCATGAGAAACAGAGAGAGAGAGAGAGAGAGAGAGAGAGAGAGAGAGAGAGAGAGAGAGGCAGAGACACAGGCAGAGGGAGAAGCAGGCTCCATGCAGGGAACCTGATGTGAGACTCTATCCCGGGACTCCAGGATCATGCCCTGGGCCAAAGGCAGGCGCTAAACCGCTGAGCCACCCAAGAATCCCAAAATCAGTATTATAATTCTTAATCATAATACCAGGCCTTAGCGTTTTATAGTTTGATGTATATGGGCAAGAATATGCTCATTTTATAGAATCTTCATGATTTTTCTTGTTAGATACTGACTTGTCATTTGTCAGTTTATATTGCTGTCTTCTGTTGGCAATTAGCTTAGGAGTGTTTTTGTTTTGTTTTGTTTTAGCTTAGGAGTTTTAAATGTGGTAAAACGTTAATTAGAGCACTATTCTTTTTAATGTAAAAGTTGAGAGAGTAATCACCTGAATTCTCTACCCCTTAATAATGGAAGTAAATATATAAAGATTGTCAGTTGTTCTGACTGGTATTTTGAAGCCTTTCTTTAAGTTATTTCATGTATTCTTTTTTCTCCCAGCTTTATTGAAGTATAATTCACAAATAAAATTGTAATATCTTGATGCTTTGAAATACACGCACACATGCACGCATACATATATACATACACAGACGTTTGTAGAAAGATTGCCCCCAGTGTGGTGTGTGTGTGAATGAATATGATCATTTCAATTCTGCTCTTCAAATTTCAGTCGTACAGTCTAGTATTATCAGCTGTAGTCACCATGTTATATACATTATTTCCTCAGACCTTATTCATCTCAAGGCTGAAAGTTTGTACCCTTTTACCAATCTCCGTTTTTCCCTATACCCCTGGCAGCCACTTTGCTACTCTCTTCAATCTGCCATCATATAGTATAACACCCAGTGCTCATCCCATCAAGTGCCCTCCTCACTGCCCATCACCCAGCCACCCTATCTCCCTCACCCTTCTCCCCTTCTGCAACCCTTTGTTTCACAGAGTTAGGAGTCTCGTGGTTTGTCTTCCGCTCTAATTTTTTCCCACTCAGTTTCTCTCCTTTCCCTTTATAGTCCATTTCACTATTTCTTATATAAAGGATTTTCTTTTTAAAGGCTGAATGGTATTTCCTTGTATATTTGTATATTACATTTTCTTTATCTATTCATCCATTGATGGACACTTTACTTAGGTTGTTTTGATACTTTGACTATTATAACTAATACTGCTTTGAACATGGGAGTGCAGATATTTCTTTAATAGCTAATGATTTCATTTCCTTTGGATATATATCCAGAAATGGCATTGCTGGATCATATGGCAGTTCTATTTTTAATTTCTTGAGGAACCTCCATACTGTTTTCCATAGTGACTGTACTAATCTACGTGGCAAGCAGCAGTGTATAATTGAGCACCTTTTCATATACCTATTGGTCATTTGTATGTTTTCTTGAAAAAAAAAAAAAGCATGTATATAGGTCTTTTTCCCATTTTTTAAAGTTGGGTTATTTGGGTTTTTGTTTTTTTTTTTTCTTTTGACTTCTTATGTATGTTTTCTATTAACCCCTTATCAGATATGTGGTTTGCAAATATTTTCTCCCATTCCATAGGCTGTCTTTTTATTTTATTGATGGTTTTCTTTGCTGTACAAACACTTTTTAGTTTGATATGGACTTGTTTTTGCTTTTATTGCCTTTGGTTTTAGTGTCAAAAAAGAAATGATTGCTAAGCCCAGTGTCAAAAGAGTTTACTCTCTGTGTTTTCTTCTAGGAGTTTTGTGATATTGTATCTTACTTTCTAGTCATTAATATGTTTTGAGTTGCTATTTTTATATGGTATAAGATTCCAGGAGTCTAGTTTTACTCTTTTGCATGTGTCTGTCAAGTTTTCCCAGCACCATTTAATGAAGAGGTTGTCCTTCCTCAATGCATATTCTTGATCCCTTTGTCAAAAATTAATTGGCCATATATGCAGGGGTTTATTTCTGGGCTGTATTCTGTTCATTGATCTATGTATCTGTTTTTATGCCAGCACCATGCTGTTTTGATCACTATAGCTTGATTGTTTGAAATCAGGAAGTGTGATGCCTCCACCTGTGTTGTTCTTTTTCAAGATTGCTTTGGCTATTCAGGGTCTTTTGTAGTTTGTTTCTTTGAAAAATGCCATTGACATTTGGAATCCCTATTCCATTAAATCTGTACATTGCTCTTGGTAGTTTGGGGATTTTAACAATATTAGTTCTTCTAATCCTTGAACACAGACTATTTTTCTATTTATTTGTGTCTTTTTTAGTTTCTTTTATCACTGTCTTACACTATAATATATATATATATTATATATATATAATGTATACAGTATATATCCTCCTTGGATAACTTATTTTTGTTTTATTTTATTTATTTTGCTGCTGTAGTAAATGGGATTGTTTTAATTTCTCTTTTCATAGTTCATTGTGGATGTATAGAAATGCAACTTTTTTTGTTTATTTTGTTTCCTGCATCATTACTGAAATTGATCATTATATCTAACACTTTTTAAGTGACATTTTTACAGTATCTATATACAATGTCATCTGCACCTAGAGAAAATTTTACTTCTTCCTTTCTGATTTTGATGCCCTTTATAATCCTTTTTCTTGCCTAGTTGCTCTGGCTTGGGTTACCAGTACTAGGTTAAATAAAAGTGGTGAGAATGGGCATTCTTGTGTTTCTGATCTTAAAGGAGCTTAAGCATTTTGTCACTGGGTATGATGTTAGCTATGGGCTTGTAACATATCAACTTCATTATGTGGAACTGTCTATCCTCTTTACCTAGTTTGTTGAGAGTTTTTATCATGAATGGATGTTGAATTTTGTCAGATATTTTTTCTGCCTCTATTGAGATGAATGCATGATTTTTATTCTTCATTTTGTTAATGTGGTGTATCACATGGATTGGTTTGCAAATGTTGAACCATCCTTGCATGCCAGAATGCCAGAGATGAATCCCCTTTGACTATGGTATGTGTTTGATCCTTTTGTCATATTGTTGAATTCAATTTCCTAATATTTTATTGGGGATTTTTGCATCTAAATTCGTCAAGGATATTGGCCTGTAATTTGCTTTTTTTGAGTGCCCTTGTCTGGTGTTGGTATCAGGGTAATGCTGGCTTTGTAAAATGAGTTTGGAAGTGAAGTGTTCCTTCTTATGTTTTGAAGAATAAGAGTTTGAAAAGGATTGATATATTATTCTTCTTTAAATGTTTTGTAGAATTCATCAGTGAAGCTATCTGGTCATGGACTTTTCTTTGTTGGGAGATTTTTGATTACTGATTCCATCTGGTCTAACATGTAGTTTAATTCTAATGTTTTCTTATTGATTTTCTGTTTGGATGATCTATCCATGTTGGAAGTGGGTATTTGAAGTCTCCTGCTAGTATTGCATTTCTCTGTATTTCCTTCTTTAAATTTTCTATATTTGCTTTATATAATATGTGCTTTTATGTTAAGTGCATAGGTATTTTATAACTATTATAGCCTCTTGATTAATTGACACTTTTATCATTATATAATGACCTTCTTTTTCTTTCTTTTTTTTCCCCTGATGTAAATACAGCTGCCCCCTGCTGTCTTTTGGTTTCTATTTTATTGATTATCTTTTTTTATCACTTCACTTTTAGTCTATGTGTGTCCTTAAAGCTGAGGTGTATCTCTTAGAGGGAACATACAGTTGGGTGTTATTGGTTTTTTTCTTAAATCCATTCAGCCACTCTGTTTTTTGATTGACGAACTTAGGCCATTTATATGTAAAGCAATTATTGATAGGTATAAGCCTACTGTTGGCATTTTATTCATTGTTTTCTGGTTGTTTTGTAATATTTTTGTTCCTTTCTTCCTTTTTTGCTTGCTTCCTTTGTGATTTTATGATTTTCTGTAATGGTATGCTTTGATTTCTTTATCTTTTGTGTGTCTAATAGAGGTTTTTGTGTTGTGGTTACCATGAGGTTTACATAAAATATATTTATGATAGCTTATTTTAAGCTGATAATTACTTAACTTCAAATACATACCATAGCTCCTGTTTCCCCACATTTTGTTTTTGATGTCACAATTTGCATCTTTTTACATTGTATATTCATTAACAAATTACTATAGTTATTTTTAATACTTTTGTCTCTTAACTTTCATACTATATTTATAAATGATCTGCCCATTCCGTGGAAACATTATAATACTTTGAATTAAATTTAAATTTGCCTTAGCAGTGAGTTTTATATTTTCACTTGTTTTTGTTATTATCATCCTTTCATTTGAGCTTGAAAAACTCCCTTTAACATTTTTTTTTTAAGGTTAGTCCTGTGGTGATGAACTCCTTAGCTTTTTTTGTCTGGAAAATTCTTTATTTCTCCTTTAGTTCTGAACAACAACTTTGCTTGGTAAAGTATTCTTAGTTGGCCGTGTGTTTATTTTTTAGCCCTTTGAAGGTATCCTCTCACTCCCTTCTAGCCTGCAAGGTTTCTGCTGAAAAAAATCTGATAATAGTCTTATGTGGGTTCTTATGTATGTAACAAGTTGTCTTCTCTTGCTACTTTAAAGATTTTCCTTCTCTTTAACTTTGGCACTTTAATTAAAATGTGTCTTGGTGTGAGTCTCTTTGGGTCTTCGTAAATCTGTATGTCTGATGTCTTTTTTCCCCAGGTTAGGGAAATTTTTAGCCATTATTTCTTTGAATAAGCTTTTGGTCCCTTTATCTGTCCTTCTGGGACTTCTATAATGAATAAATTGATTTGTTCCTTTGTGTCCCATAAGTCCCTTAAGTAATTTTCACTCTTCATTCTTTCTTTTGCTCCTCTGTTGGATGAGTTCCACTGCCCTTTTGGAGTTCACTGATTCTTTCTTCTAATTGATGTAGTGTGCTGTTGAACCCTCTAAAAACCTGAGTTTTTAAGTTCAGTTATTGTATTCTTCAGTTCTACGATTTCTATTCAGTCTTTTAAAAATATTTTGTCTCTTTGTTGAAATTCTCACTTTGTTCATGCATTGCTATCCTGACTTTGTTGAAAATCTTTATGACTATTATTTTGAACTCTGTATCGTGTAAATCACTTGCCTGCATTCTTTTGAGATCTATTTCTAGATATCTGTTTTGTTCTTTTGTTTGGAATATAGTCCTTTGTTTCTTCATTTTCCATGATTCTCTGTTTTGGTTTCTGCACATTAGATGAAATAGCCATCTCTCCCAACCTTGGCAGAATGCTCTTATGTAAGAGAGAAATCTCATTGATCAGCCTGGCTTGAGGGTCCTAGTTGTGTGTCAGACTTTTGTGATTGCCCAAGCCTATTTCTTTGTTCTTAGTGGCTCCTAGTAGTTGAGGGTGCCAGATCACAGTAGTATCCCAAAAAGGAGGATCATAGTCAGCACCTAGATGGAGGGTATTTAGAAGCTGGATCCTCTAGCAGCAGCTGGAAAAGTATATAGTTAAGCCCCTTCCAGGGAAAAGCTGAAAGATGGATGTTTTTGCCTATTTCTTCTGTGCTAGCCTGAGTATAAGCTGTAGGAGGTGCCTCTGTGGCTAAGAACTGTTTCATTCTTTGTTACAGTACAATGGGACTCATGAATGCAAGACCTTTGTGCTGCTAGAGCCAGGCTATTTGTAGGTTCATCTCTTCATGGCAGCCATGAAAGCTGAGGTGCCAGATGTGTATACAGTCTCCTTTCAGGGTGATATGAGTAACTTTGGTTATTGGAGCACCCTTCAGGGAAAAGGTAGGATATGTATCTGCTGGCTTCCCTACTCTTTGAAGAGGATGGCAGCCCACAGTGCCTGCTAAATTAGAAGTGTGGCCCTTGGACTGCAGCTTTTAAAATATGCAGATAAAACTGTTTCATGGAAAGACTGAGTGGTGAGCAGTTTTGCCTGTTCCCCTGGGTGGTGGGAAGTATTGGCTTGTACATACCAGTTAAGACTTGCTTCTTTGTTTATTATAGCTTTGTGGATTCCAGGGACACAAGTCCTGTTGACTGTCAGAGCTAAGTGTATTTTTTCTAACCAACCTTTCATTCACCCATGCTTTCTTTAGCTGGGTCTAATCTGATGTGAAATTTATCTTTTTACTTCTTAATTGTAGTTAATTAGGGGGACTTGGGGGAAAAACCCCTTAAGGGGCACTGGGGAATGATTTTTTAAAAATTTGATAAATGTTGGGATCCCTGGGTGGCGCAGCGGTTTGGCGCCTGCCTTTGGCCCAGGGCGCGATCCTGGAGACCCGGGATCGAATCCCACGTCAGGCTCCCGGTGCATGGAGCCTGCTTCTCCCTCTGCCTGTGTCTCTGCCTCTCTCTCTCTCTCTGTATGACTATCGTAAATAAATTAAAAAAAATTTAAAAAAATTTGATAAATGTTGCCATGGGGCATAAAGTCCAATAGCTAGCATTCTGGAGGCCCAGTAGACTTATTTTTGAGCAGATTTTCACTTACTCCCCTGACACCCATTTCTGTCTTTTGGCCCCAAATGAATAGCCTCTCTGATAATAGTCTTTAGAAAGTCAGCTTTCCATCTCTCTGAACTAGGGAATAACCTAAGGAAGGTGATCTGAAGTTCTAACTGCTCTTTATAAAATCTTTTAATTAATTATTCTCTTTTTAATTGCACCTTGATAATCACTATCTCCAATTCTTAGCTTTCCCCTGACTTCGTAACGCAAATCAGTGTTTTCCCCCGTGGCTTCCACTGTTGTAAATACTTGAGCAAAGTGGAGGTTGGCACTCAGGCCTGTTCATTTTTCATCCATCTGCCTCCATCTTCTAGCATTTTGTTGATATCTCTCCTTTGCAATTATTTCTTCTTTCAGTTTTCTTTTTCCTGTGGATTATTCTTTTAAAAAAAAAGGTAATTATTTTACAGTCATCTTCATCGCTCTTGAGATTCAGTGTGTATTTTCTGTACTTTCTTCATGTGAAGCTAGTGTTTATTTGTAAAAAATGTAGGAACATTTTCTTCTGAGAAAATTAAATTAATATTGTTAAAAAGAAAATGATTTGTGACACTGTTACAGGTTAGGAAGGTAGACTGTCCAGGAGGACTGCTACAAGGGGTGAATATGGTGAGGCAAGGTGGGGTTTTATAGCCTGGGAGTAGAGGGAGGGATCAGTGGATGGAAAATTGCTAAGAGAAACCATCAGTGGAAGGGAGATTCTGGCTAAACCAACCTGACGGAGTCTTTGCTGAAAGCAGGCCAGGCTGATGAGATAGAGTAGGGGATTTTGATAAACCAACTCAGCAAGATTCTTGCTACAGCTAGACTAAGCAGGCAGAGCCCCTGACCAAGGGCAGAGCCCAAGGTCAAGCCCTAGTTTATGAAAGAAGACTCAGAAGAGCCTGGCTCAAGTTTGGTCAAGGAGAGTCTGACAGTATAGATCATTGTGGCCAGATGTTAATGGGAATATGTATAGCAATGCAGTAAAGCTTACTGGTATTAATGTACTTTTTTTAAATGTATAGTTTACCATTTAATCAAGCTAATCCTTAAAAACATCATTTTTGATGGCTGTGATGCCCATGCTTGAGTCTGGTGTGCATTTGTGAGAGTCATTTATTGCAACCATGTAGGAAATTCTTACAGCCATAATTAGATTAGAATATTTTCTAGGTAGATAAATCATGCCATGTAATTGAAGATCGTATTACCACTTCTAGTCCACTGGAAATCATAGTTGCTCATAACTGAAAATGAAGCATTTGTATTTTTGTGCTAAGTCAATGAAATATTGTTGTACCCACAAATCTAGAAGAGATTAAAATTATCTAGAAAAATAAGTTGGAAACTTAATATGAACGCTTCAGGACCCCAGGCTAGATTTAATTATAATGGATGCTTTGAGGCTTATCATGAGAGAAATCAATGATCCTTATCATTGAGATCCAGGTAGGTAGGTATGAAGTTAGTAATTGTTCATCTCTAAGACAGCTGTACAAGGAATTTGATGATTGTAGATATTTATTATTTATAAGCTGTGTTCTCAGTAGCCTCTTGGAAGAATGAAATTATTCCTCCGAGTGCCTATTTGAGAGTTCAAAGTAAGAATATAGTATATCAGAATAAAGACGAATACATATTCCTTTGAAGAAGATTCATTCTGTCCTCTGGCAGGCAGGCTGTGCAGTAGGCAGGTGGTCCTAGGTTGGCAAGGGACTGAGCTGGCTGGAGGTGGGTTTGTAAAACTTGAGAAACTTGTTTACCCTTGGTTCACCCATCCCCTCACTAAGTAGTAGCCCTCCAGAGGTCACTGTAGAAGGCCTAGGGCTTTTCCTTTCCAGCACCACAAGACTGCCTCCAGTTCCATTGTTTATTTTCTGGTTTGTTTGTTTGTTTTGCTGCTTCCTGCTTTGCTTTCAGCTGCTTGCACTGTGTACTTTAAGAATTTGTCACATGCTTCCAGAGGAGGACTGTTGGGGTCATATCTCTGCAACTCCCTTCTTTCAGGAAACTTGGCAGCTCTGAACTCCAAATTTTGCCTCCAATCCTTTGAAATTGCTGAAAGCTCTGATGACTTCTCTGCCTCTTAGCAGCTGCCCTTGCCTGGCCTTGGGTTCCTCTGGACTTTGCCCCATCCACCTTTTCTCTTGGTTGATTTTGCTTTGTATCCTTTCACTGTAATATATATCATAGCTGTTAATACAACTGTGTGCTGAATCCTGTACATCTTGCTAGTGCATCATTAAACCAGGGGTGGCCCTGGGATCCCAAACATGTACGCGCATTTTGAGTTTATGTTAAGTTCCATTATCTCTGAGATTTTCATGTTCTATTGAGAATGATCAGAGATAGATGATACTGTAACCTCTTCTCATGTATGTGTAAACTGAGGCTGAAAGATGAATTGACCCAAGGTCTTTTATCTGGTAATTCCCAACAGAACCAGGAATTGTGTCCAGATTGACTCCAGAATTCCCCTGTACTTTTGCTGTATCGTGTATCTTCCAAGTGATGAAGCAAAATTACCACCGAGGATTGATTTCAGCTTTTGAGGCTGTCCAGCATTATTGGGAAACTTAACTATTTAGCCTTTTCATTATGTATAAGGAATGTTTTTAGATCAATAGTAAAATAAAGTCAGTTAGAGTTTAGTGACTTTTTTGAAGGCAGCCTAGTTATATTTTTGATCCAAAATGTATCAGTAAATTAATAACTTTCTTTCCTTTTTTAACCTCCAATAGAAATCCTCTTGTTAGAGATTCTGTACTCTGTTTGTGGGTATGTACATGTGTAGGAATGTGCAAATACTTACGTATACACTGTGGACAATTAAGACTGACAAAAATCGTTACTTGTATTTTCTATAGATAATTTTGTTTGCTTTGATATTTAGTAGGTATGACATCTCTTATGAACTGGGAAATTATATAAATAAAACATTTTCAAATATTTAGGCAAATAGAGATTTTTCTTTCACTTGAGACCTGATATTTCAATATAAAAAAGACATAATCAGCAAGTCACAAATTGCTGCTTATTTGAGCAATGAAATATTTTTTGTGTTATCAATTTCAGAATTTCTCCCCCAGGATATCTTTATTGTGCTGTCTAAAAACAGGTAGGTTAAGCCTCAAAATTGTTGAAGAGTACAAGATTAAAGGATGGTTCTGAGTTACAAAAGTAAGGCCGTATTTTTAGTCCTGTTAGCTTGGGGCAGCCCATTGCGTATTTTTTATTATTATTATTATTTTAAAAAAATTTTATTGGAGTTCAATTTGCCAACATATAGCATAACACCCAGTGCTCATCCCGCCAAGTGCCCCCTTCATTGCCCATCACCCAGTCACCCCAATCCCCCATTGCGTATTTTTAGCCCTATTAGCTTGGGGGCAGCCCATTGCCTGGCCTCTTTAGGAATTGACAAAGATTAACATTTTTCTTTAACAAGGTAGGTTTTATTAATTTCATAGTAGCATTTTATATTGATACAGCTTAAGAATTTACAAATGCTTTCACTTTACTATCTAATTGGAGCCAAACAACTTGTGAGGTAGTGGAGCTGACATGGTTATCTCTCCTTTAAACTTGAGAAAAGCTGGTGTTTGGAGAAAGTGGGTGACTTGCTCAAGATCATGCAGCTGGCTAGTGGGAGAGGAGAGGCACAGACACAATTTCTGACTCCGTATGTGGTGTTTTGCTTTTTTCATGCTTGTAGAGGTGACAGAGCTGAAGGTCTTACACCCTGGTGTCTTGGGCATCAATTCAGCGCTGTCGCAGGTAGTCGGGCATACACTGAGGGAGACAGTGGACTTCGTAGGTTTAATTTTGCGTCGCTTACTAGTTTAACAAAATGATAGCCAGATCACTTTCTGAATCTGCGTGAAGCAGAGTTTTTTGTCATCTTTAGAAAATCAGTTGGGATTTTAAACCTTTTCTGCATCATAATGACTCCATACAGCAGAGAATTTCAACAAATTCATCCCGTGAGAAAGCAGTTTGGGCAAAGGTTTTGATATTTTTCCTGAAGCAGCCTGAGGACTAAAATGCTATTCTCGTTTAGAATGAAATGTTTCTTAGTGATTAAAACCCATAAGAGAAGGATGTGAGGGCAGGTATACATAGGCTAGCTGTTGGAGAATGAAGCAAACACAGGGCAGCAGGAGTAAACTTCTCTGAAGAAAATTAGGGGGGTGAGGAAGTTGTGGGAGGAAAACCATAGTGATAGGAAATAATTAAGTGCTGATTAGAGTTTCTTTTTTTGTGATTGAATTATACATCAAAAGAAAACTTATTTTATAACTCTGGGGACAAAGTACCTTAAAGTCTTTCTCTTACCTGGGGGTTACTGTGAGATAATGTATATGAAGGCCTTTCGTAAGTTGTACATTGTTCAAAACAGATGTTGGAATTATTAATGAAAGTAAAGCTGAATTGCTCTGATTGGTCTTGTGCCTTAAGTTTTTTTTACATTAAGTATAACCAATGTGTTAAGGTAATACAAAAATCAATGATCTCATTGTCCCTGTGGCTTCTCATAAAGAGTTCAGCAAAGTTTGTTTAGGACCTACAATGTGTTGAGCACTCTTGGGAGATGATAGGAGGTACTGATACGGGTCAGTCACAGTTCCTGACCGCTAGGTGCTTATGAGAAGACAGACCCACAAATAGATGGTTTCACCTGCATGGGAGAAGTGGTCAGTCATGATGTGCGGGGCCTAAAGGGAATGCATAGAAAGAGGTCATTTAGCCCAAGATGGGCTTTCATAAAGGAAGAACACCTGAAGATGAGACTGAGCTGCAGTTTGAAGGAAATGTCAGTCACTGGGAGGAAAAAAGGTGGGAAATCTGCCCTGACCAGAGGAAGCAATGTCAGTGAAGGTTTATAATGTAAAATGTGAGCCAGGAAGTAATTCAGAGATTGATTGGCCAGACTCCCTTACTGAGAAATGTGGTTTTCTGACTCAATGGATGGTGTTGGGTGAGGATGAGTGGATGAGCAGAGCAGGCTCGCTGGGGAGACTGGTGAGTTGCATTGCAAACATGCATTTGGGGAATCTGAGAGATTGCCATGTGAGTCTGTTAGCAAGTGCTGTGTACACAGTGGAACTTCAAGGGCGAAGTCAGGTTAGTATTTGGATTTGGAAGTAATCAGTATGTAAGCTTACTCAGAGAGAGCTTGTGTATAAGAGTGGGCCAGGAGAGCATTTTTTATAAGCACCTATTTTTGAGACATACAATGGAGGATGAAGAGCATGTAATCAGCAGTGGGGAAGGACAGAGGGGAATGAAGCACACCAGAAGACAGGAGTATTGGAATTTCCACCAGTTAAGTGCAACAACAGAGAGATCTGGAAGCAATGGGCTGGAGAGTGGCACCTGGAAAACCAGTCAGAAGGTTGCTTTCAGTGGAGTGATGAGTGTTGTGATCTTCTGTTCCCATGGTCTCGGGATTCCTGCAACTTTTTGGCCCTAGGCCTACTCACCACTCTTCCCCGCCCCCAAACACACACAGGTTAGCACTGCCTGCTCCTTTGTCCTTGCTGGATGGGCTCGCTGCATTTGAGCCAGAGAGTAGACCTTCATGAGCTGAGGCTGAGAACATGACTTTGATAGGACCTGCAGAAACAGGCATCAAATATCAGGGTCAGTGTGGGTGCCAGGAATGGAATAGAGTGTGAAACCCTTCCACTCCTGGGCATCAGGATGGATGATGCCAGAACATGGATGAAGTTTGTGTCACAGTCAACATGTGAAGGAGCCAAGATCGGAAATTGACAGGCTCAGATTATTTTCTGAACATTCCTTATTATGAGATTTCTTTTAAATTGCCAGGAGCGTTGCCTTCCAGGTTGTGCTTTTTTTGACTTAAAAAAAAAAAAAGTGCTTATCAGTATCTGATCCTAGCATTGCTCCAAGCCTCCTTAATGTCTAGGAGCTTTTTTGGCTTGATCCTGGGTATTTTTGTTGCTTCCAAATCATACTACTCCTGTTTCCTCAGCTTATAAGACTGTTTCCTAGCCTATAAGACTAAGCTTTTTCTTTAAACCCTTTCTCTTAGTTGATGTTGATTAATGTTCTAGTATTCAGCTGCCCATGTAACACTAGGTCCTGTTCTGACCTCAGTACACTGGCTGGGCTTCCTGTAACTGATCTCCTTTATACCAGACTATTTTCGTTGTTGGTTGTGTGGGGTGGGGTGCAGGAGTGGGTTGAAATCCTGCTTTCCATAGATCTGAACAATGCTTGCCCACCGACCCACTGCATGGATTTTTTGTGTGTGCGTTCTCCTACCTATTGGGAGACTCTGAGATGTTGTGAGTAACTACACTGCTCTGGTCGTGATGCCTTCTCGCTGTGGAGTGAACCTCTGCAGTCCTGGCTGGTTTCTCCCATCCCTGTACCAGCAGGATGCATGGCTTTTGAGCAAATCTGCCCTCTTCCTTGCATTTCCATGATCATTTCTTCTTGGTGAGACAGTCTCCAGGAAGAAAGTAAGCAAGTTTATCTCCCTCACTTCTGTCCTCCTTCCTTTGTTCTAGCTGAAGGCTACATCTAGTCTAAGAGTGTGTTCTAATAGTACTTTATGTGTGCTGCGATTCACTGTTCAGATAGGTAATAAACTCTCACATAGTCCTTCAAGCCACTTAGCTGGCTAATCGGGACTACTCCATCACAGCACAAACTCTGAACTTTTAAAGAAGTTTGCTATATACGGTCAAGGTGGTTTGGCAATATATTTTTAATAAGCAAGGTAAAAACAATTCTAGGAAAAAAGATAATCTCACTTAATGAGTTTTGCTTTCTCTTTTCAGAAAATGAGAACCGTATAACCCATTAACTTGTCTTTCCTGCCTAAACTTCTGGATATTTAAACCAAGCTTCATATTCAACTCCTTTCATTCTAGATGCCTAATGACATTTGCTTCTCTGCTCATTTTAACAGATTATTGTTCCCTTTTTATTGTCTGATTTTATAGCTTTTAATTGCATTCATGATGGGAAATCCTTTTGGAAGCAGGTGGAATATAAACACACATACAACTGTGTGAAAATAAGATAGTTTTGGCCACAAAATGGGGACACTGAAATGTTTCCGTAGTGTTTCACTGATAATGCTGTGTTGGGTGCACGGGTGCACACGTGTGTGTGTATAAAATCTCCCAAATGGAGAGAAATCAGAATACTGTGATTTTTTTTTTTAAGAGGAAAGAATATGTTACCCTGTAGTGGAAAAGTTGTCTTTATCCCAAACAACCTACCTAATGAAATATTCAGAAGCACTTAGTGCTTTTAAGCAAATATCTTATTCTGTGTCCCAAGGGCAAGTAATGAATTGGGTGTGGAGTGTTCACTTGTTTTTCATTTTTTTTCTTGACCAGTGGAAACTAAGAGGAAGAGTATATGGGCTGTTTTATGGCAAATAATCATTGTATAGACTTAGAACAAGTGGTCTTAGTGTTTAAATACCACCAGTTTCTTATGACGGATGGATTAATAAGATAAATAAAAATAAAGCTTATTAAAATGGTCTGTTCCTTTTCAGTGATTAAGATAGAACTTTTAACCCTGAAAATTGATGAAGCCCTTCAAAAAAGCAACCTAATAGGGGAGTTTCTTGTATTTTATAGCTATCTAATTGTAGGGTGTATGTTGACAGTCTTGTCATATAATTAATGCTTAGCATCTCACCATTTATGGTCTCAAGTGTTAAAAATCTCCTAACGTGTTCATTTGGATAACATTTCCTTAAAGCTAATGTAAACTGCTTACTTTATTTTGAAATCAGAGTTAACCCAGTGCGGTCACATGACCTTATATTAGAACCTTAGGATCTAATGAAGTCTCGTGTGCTCTATATGCTCTGGCCATAGCCCTACCACTTATGTTTTGGATGAAGATGAGCCTCGATTCCTTGAAGAAGTGGATTACAGTGCAGAAAGTAATGACGACTTAGATACTGAATTGGCGGAAAACGCAGGAGATTATGAACCTTCTGCTCAGGAAGAAGTACTTTCTGACTCTGAATTATCAAGAACATACCTACCTTAAGCCTTCTGCCATCTCTTGTTAAGTGCAAAAAAGAAAGGAAATATCTTGATTTTCTTACACAGGAAGTTTGAGAGAAATGAGTTAATAGCTGACTCAAAAAAGAAATAAAGCAACTTAGGCCTGTTTGGTTTCAACACAATAAATATATTATTAATTCATGATAAAATTGGCACTTGTTTTATTTTAGATATTCAGTGCACTTGATACAGCATTGAATGATCAAATATTGGATTTACTTTTTTTTAAAAAAAGCTGAGTATCATTGCATGAATTTTTATCTTCTTATGGTTATATCCTGCATCAAATGGATACATTTTGACGTGTGTCAGAATATAAAATCTGAATTCTAGAGTTGTTGGAAATCCCAAGTTGTTGAAAACGAATACATATGTACATGGATTTCTCTAGCTGTGTGACTATGTAGGGTGGGTAGATATTGAAGATAAGACTGTCCTTCAGAATCATGTTAACTGTGGACTTGTGACTGAAATAACCCAGAGTTTGCTTTGAAAGCATTACATTCTCTACTTACAAATTAAATAAAAGCTATATTAAATGTTGAATTCATTTTGTCATCCTTTTTAACCAGCACAGATTATTTGGTTTATAGAGTCTTTGTGAGAATATTATAAAAATCCAACATCTGAACACATTGATAAAAATTAAGAAAAAAACCTTAATTTACTAGTGTTACGTTTTTTCTGGTGTGGGTATACCTCTACTTGTCATAAAAGATAGCTCTTTTCTCTATAACTATGTTGCTTGGATGCACCTGAAGTGTTTACTACTATAGTCAGTTTGTTAAGCTTGAAAAATGCAGTGAGGTTACAATCCAGTGTTAAGTGTGTATCTGTATATTATGCATATTTAGCATTTCCTGAGCTGTGTGATGCTGTTAGACTTGCTGATGGGATGTCACCTAGGGCGTGCTGACCCTGGTGTCTGTGTCTAGGTGACTGCGATAATTGTAAGCCACTTCTTGCAGTGGCACCTTTCTGGCTTAAACTGGCCTGCTGCAAGAATGACTTTGTCTTATATGGAATAAAACTAGTTCAGTGACTTTGGATAAGTGCCCTATGAACTAAGTTTCTGTTGTAATAAAATCCAAAAGAAATACCTCATTAACAGATTCTTGCCAGGACTCTGGTGCTTCAGTTTGGGTACATTATCTTCGCTTATTCCTGATTAGAATTTTTTTAATCTTTATTTTTAAACCTACAGTAATGGAAAAGATAAAAGTGTATTTCAAGTTTTTGCATTTTCCAAATCAGTGGCTTTCACACTATCATTTGAAGCATTTTATCCATTGTGTAACTTTTTTGATGTCCTAGGAGCTATGTTTAAAAACATGTATGGGGCAATTGATAGAGTTCTTTTTTGCTTAGTAGCCTAATTCTTATTAATCTCAACTAGATTGTGAGGCTTGCCAGTCCTCTTAGTGTTTGGTGAGCTAATTTGGGAAAGATCAGGATACTTTAGCAAGGTAAAATATTACTTATTTAATAATTTATCTAATTCATAAAGTTGTTCACATTTGTATATTTCATATATAAAATAATTGCATATTTAATTGTGACTTTTTCAGAGAGTGGATTATGGAATCACCATGTCTGGATGTAAATTTTTCTTGATTCTTATAAAACTCGAAATTAAAACCCAAGGTATCCATGTATGAGAAGAAATTATAGTTACTATAATGTGCAGATAACTCAGAGCTTCAATTTATTATGTTGCAGTGTAAAAATCCCTTACCATGTACTTCTGTAATATTTCATGTTGATGAAGTACATCTTTTAGTATGTTACAAACCCGAATATGCCTTTTATTATATAATTATTCACAAGGTTGGAGAGAAAGTCTTTATAGTTAGGAAATGATTTTTTCCTTAATAAATAGCTTTGGAAAAAATAAGAATTTAAAATCCTAAGTTTCCTAATTAGCGGACAAAAGCGTCATTGGCTATTAAAAGCTACATTGCCCCCCAGTTTTTCTCTCTATGGCTTTTTCTTTTCAGGATTTTCAAAGAATGATTGAGATACCTTCAGGGCCATAATCCTGAAAAAGTAATGTGTAGCTGATAGACTGAGTCTAACGATAGAGTTTAGATTTATTTAATTTGCCTTGTATTTGGAACTGTAAATTTCTTAAATGTGATTTTGATCTGATCCAGTGGTTCTCATATGGTATTGTATGCATCAGATTCACCTGGAGGACTTGCTTCTCAAAACAGAGATAGCTGATAACCATGTGGACCTGGGGAGGCCCCAGATGTGCATTTCTTAAAAATCCTCAGGTAGTAACACAGCAGGAGCCATGCTAGGAGAACCACTGTATGATCTTATGTGCTCTTCCAGCCCCTGGATTCCTAGGAATCCCGGGACCTGTGAACTGGAAATTAGCACTGGGGATGGTTTAGATCAAACTGAGGTATAGAATCAAGAAAATAGACACATGGAGGTGGAGCGAGGTCCCCAGGGTTTCAGCCCAGGTCTGCAGAAGCCTAGCCTCATGTTCTTGCCATAAAAGGAGATGCCGTCCTTGGCTTTTTCCTGAACAGTAAGCAATATAAAAAGCTTAAGTGTCTCTCTGGAGTTTGTGGATAAATTCCACATTGAGTTCAGGCAAGGCAGAATGCAAAAACCTGTGGTTCACATCGGCTTTCTCTGTGTTGCCATCCTGATGTTGTTTGAAGACCGGCTTTTGTCCTGCCCTAAGTATCCTTCTTCCTCAGCTCCTGCCACGTCTGCCAGTGCTGTGTGGTGCTTAGAAACATGGGCAGTTGTTTGATTCCTGATTACAATAGAAACATGGGCAGTTGTTTGATTCCTGATTACAAATGAGTAACCTGGAGTTCCGCTTCAGATAGCACACTAACAGCAATGAATATGTACTTCTACAAATATCCAAGTGAAGATGACCATATTATTATAAGCACTGAAATGGATAATATAATAAATGTACTAATGGAATTGTCTTTGTGCATGATCCAGAAATAAATGACACTAATGAAACCATAAGTGTATCTTTAAAATCCTTTGGTTTTCCTATCCATATTTTGTAATAGAACATTAATTGAAAATCCATGAATTCAGTGAATCAACTGCATACAAACCCTAAAGTGTCTCCATTCAGAAGAACCTGGTGAAGCAGTATTTCAACTGAATGACCATTCTACTTTATCCAATAGAATGTTCTTATTAATACTAAGTATTTCTCTGGCTAAGGCACATTTGAATTCCTGCACAGAAAAAGGGAAACTCGGAAGAAAGTTTCATTTTCTTCATGAGAATTCGCATTTTGAGGGTTGAGTTCCTGGAATGTCAAATTTCAGTAGTTTTCCACTGTTAATGAGGTCTGTAAACCTTCTTAACTCTGTGGAGCTGACCATTACCTGACCAGTAACTGAGACCTGTCTCCCCTCCTTCCACCTCATAGCATCCTCATACTTCAAGCCCTTTTAACCTCATGGCACCCTCTATCAGCTCTTAGGCTTCAGAGCGAGGCTGGTTATTGGGGCCATTGAGTAATTAAACTTCTCGTTTTGAGGTTGATGGAGAGGCAGGACCTAAATCCAAATGAACGAGCCCCCTGTACTGGTGCTTGGGGCCTTGTGCAGGCCAGCCAGGGTAACATTCTGGCATCTGGGTCGCAGCTGACGCTGCTGAGAACCGAAGTGACCCGGTGACCTGTGGCTTGGGGTTGCACGCAGGCCTCCTCACAAGCCCCTCTGAGTGGAAGTGGACTCGTGGGGCCCTCCTAACTGTAGACCCACACAACACGGAAGCGCTGACAAGACTTAGCTCCAGGTACTCAGGAAAGTTCACCTTTGTAGTAAGTAACTAATGTGAGCCTGTCCCTTTCCAAGATGTCATGAGAGGATGCCACACGAGTGTGAGGTGAGCAGTAACAAAAATCTGGTCAGTGGAGTCATGATGCTGGTAAAGAGCTTCGATAAATGGCAGGTGGGGAGAAACTGGGAGACATGGATGCTTGTTGAAAATTAAAATAGAAAAGGCTAGTGTTTAACAAATACAAGTCAAGTCTGCACTTTTGACAGTAGATGGGCTTCTTTGTAGTGTTTCCTCTGACAGTGAATGTAATGAGGGAATTTTAAGTCAGGAAACTTCTCTTCATGTTCAGTGCTAAATAGTGAACCAAAGCTACATACTCTCTACAGTGTCAGGACTCTTACCATTTATATTTTCTTCCATGTCTGTAGGATTGCTTTTTCTCCTGTTTTCCTCATATGAATGCCTAGAAATGTTTGACATTTTATCTATTTTTCTTTTCAAATGTGGGCACTTGAAACACAGTGAACGAATTGTAAAATTTCATATAAAAAGATAAATTTAAAAATCTGAAAATAACCCGTTTAAAGCCTTATAATTTGTATTTAATGTAGAGAGAGAGGAGTGTCCAGTGCATAGCTACCCTTCTCAGCCTTTATTTCTCTTCCTGAATGGCTGCAGAAGATTAAAAAATAGCAGAAACTAAACCACCATTCTCACTTGTGAAAATCCAGATCCGCTTACAGGATGAAGTGGACACATACATGTCTGCTTCCTGGTGACCCGTTCTCCCCTTGTCCTAACCCGTGTTCTGAGGTCAGTATCTTTCACCGAAACTTCAGGAGTGCGGCACATGACCCGAACCCAAACAGCAAATGTTAGGACTTGGGATGGTAGTGCTAGAACAGGGGCCCTTCCTTGAGAAGGAAAGATATATATAGCTGGCCGCTGCTGGCCTCCTCACAACCCCGAGAGGAGACCACTCCCAAGACAAGCCGGTGTTGAAGGAACAGAGCCAGAACATTGAGAGGAACTGGGTCTTTTTTATCATTGGAGCCCTGTATCAAGCTTTATGTGAAACCTTGAATTGGGAAATTATATTTGTTCAAGCTATTTAAACTGAATTTTACTGGTAAAAGTACGTCTTACACAGGTCTCCGAAACCTGTGTGAA